CCCCCCTAGACGATTTGGTCGTCTAGGAGATGTAAAATAAGCCGCAAATATCCGGCTCGGAGGACCATGAATAACTCAGCGAGAGGGGAGACCAGTATGTTTGCATGTATGTATATAAAAAAAAAATATTTATTGGTTCAAAAATAGTGGGTAGGCACTGTGGCCAATGGCAAAGTTCGTTTGCCACCTCTGCATGGTTTTTAAGTCATGCAGAGTCCGCAATATGCTCCGGAAGCAGTGTCCGGAGGATGCATCAGACTAGGCCGAGCATCCTTTGAACTGCCATCAAATTAAAACTTAAGAAAGTTTTATTACATGGCAGTTGAGAAGTGCATGTACATAAATTTCATTAATTTAATGAAGGAAATTTTTGCACATGCAGCAGTACATAGCATGCATTTAGGCGCCTGGTGTTAGCAGTCGCGACTAAACAAACTCAATATTGGTAAATTTGCACATTCATGCTTCTGGCATAAGGGTGCTATGTATTTACTTCACAATTATTAATTTTTTATACGCCTGTCCTACATATCTTCGCAGTAAGAAAACAGTAGTCGTATTTCGACACCTTAGTGGAAGATCGACCTATCTCCGCAGCCAGTTCGAAAACGCCCTATATCAGAAAACGCTTCAAGAACACCCTACTTCAGAATTTGATTGAAAAGGCCCTATTTCTGAATTCGGTTCAAAAACGCCCTATCTCAAAACTAAATGTATTGAAAATGTGCTGAGATAGGGCGTTTTTGAATCGGAAGCTAAGTTAGGGCGTTTTTGAACCGAATTATGAGATAGGGCGTTCTTGAAAAGTTTTCTGGAATAGCGCGATTTCGAACTGGATGCCGAGATAGGTCGATCTTCCACTCAGGTGTCGATTTCCTGTTAATATTCCTCTATTTTCATGAAAACAAGTCAAGAAATGTAAATTTAGTACTCCGCTCTACTTACTAAACTACATTTATATTTGAATATTAGTTAAGAATGGAATTATTTAGTTTACACATATGCATTAATAAGGATTAATCAATCAACTACATTAAAATTTTGAAATAAAGTTTTCGAGGAACTTTTTATATGTAAATCCTCCTCCCCCCCCCCCTAAATTCGATCCTGGCGACGCCCATGAAAGCGAGAATATGTACAATGACTAATTTCTCTGTTGGTATTGACCGATGTGGTGCTCAGTTCTCTCCTTGAGCAACTAAACAAATTTGATATACCGAAATGTGTCGCAGCACTACGCAGCACCAAAAGTTCAATCGAATGATTTAGGTGATTTTAGCTTTTCTAGCAACAAAACATGTACACACGGGAGCGAAACGACGAGAAAGCGACAGCATGCGAAACAGGGTGGCCACTTTAGTAAATTGTTACCAAAATTGGTAGAAAAAATTTGGGTTGGTAAAAAGGTAAATTTTTCCTCATTTTGGTAGATTTTTGTTGAATTATTTTGTTTGAAAAACAAATAAAACTTTTCGTTCACGCTTAATTTTTCGTAGTTGTCTTTATATTAAAAATTTCTTTCCAATAGTGTAGTCTACTTTATTTCATTAATTTTCGAGCGCTGTAAATATTTTAAATGATTATTTAACTAAAAAGAAAAAATGGATATGTATGTATCACACTGTACGGCAAAATTAACTTTTTTTCTGGGTATTGGTCCAAACCAATTTTTTTTTAGAGATTGAGTCATAAGTAAAACAGGGACTTCTCCGTTTTTCGAAGTTAACCTCCGAAATCGAGGTATGGGCCTTCGAAGTTCGAAATAGGACCTTTGGTAAAAAACTATATTTAATTATTGCATGTAAATAACTAAAAACCTAAACATATAGACGAAGTCCTCCTTTTGCTCTTATTTAAATGGTATATAACTTTTTTTGTGCAAACTTATATTACAGATGCTAGAAGGAGTCAAAGTTCAGGTCTTCGAAAAATTAAATTCCTTATATTGCAAACAATTTTGAACTGGTTTTTAAAAAATGTATATCGTTGTAAAGGCGATTAGCCCCTCTTTCTTCCGATATGCATATTTGTATACTTCTTATATAAAAATTTTAGAAAACAAGTAAGAAAGTCTAAGTTCGGGCGGAGCCGAACATTAAATACCCGGCGCAAGTATTAAATATATGTTTTCCACCTTTCCGAAAGCTGCCGCTACTGATAAGCCGGGGTGTATAAATTTTAAGTAAATTAGCGTCCTTAAATTTCGAAATATTGAAATTTCAAGCATTTCTGAAATTTACCGGTTATATGAAAAACGGCCGTAATTTTAGTCCGATTTCAACAATTCAACGGTTTGCTTTTGTGCGGCAAGCACAATAACCGTACCGAGTTTGGTACAAATTGGTAGAACGGTTACCGAGACACATATATGTGATCATAAGTGGGCGGTGCCACGCCCATTTTCCAAAATTTTATCACAAACATATTTCTTTGTTAAGAATTGTTGCACCCATCAATTTTGAAAAAATTAGCTTTAATATTTACTGATTTATCGAGGATTTCGTATTTTTCTAAATTACCGTTATATGGGAAGTAGGCGTGGTTATTGTCCGATTTTAAAAGTTTTCGGCCATTTGGTATTTTGTACCAGGACCAACAACTGTGCCAAGTTTGGAAGAAATTGGTGCAGCGGTTACCAAGCTATACGCATGTAACCATAACTGGGCGTGGCTACGCCCATTTTCCAAAAATCTATAATATTCTTATTTTTCGTCTAAAACTCATTGTAAATATCAATTTTGAGTGAATTATCTTTAGTAGTTACTAAAATATCCCAGTTTTCGTATTCCTGAAAATTACCGTTATATGGGAGGTAGGCGTGGTTATTGTTCGATTTCGCCCATTTTCAATACCATCCGTCCTACGCCCAAAAGAAGTCCACGTACCAAGTTTCGTTAAGATATCTCAATTTTTACTCGAGTTATCGTGTGCACAGACGGACGGACGGACGGACGGACGGACGGACGGACGGACAGACAGTCACCGCTTAATCGATTTCTCTTTTCATTCTGATCATTTATGTATACATTTGTCTATATCTATCTCGATTCGTTTTGCCTGTTACAAAC